AAAAAGCAGGTAAATAAAAACAAATTTGTTTTCAAAATAGAACAATATAACCCAAAAAAACATAAAACATCAAGACGAAAAGCTGAAGCGGTAAAAGGAAATTTTTTTTTTTTTGAAATAGATTGGAAAAAAATTTTAAAAACCATATTAGTGCAGAAATGTCAAAATCAACAAAACCAAAAACACCCAAAAAGATTAGAAGAGAACAAACGGTAGAAAAGGAAAAAAATTTATGTCAAAACAGATCGAGAAGAAAAAAATGAAGAAATGAAAAACCATATAAGAAAAAAAAAAACAAAAAACCATATTAGTATAGGAAAGACGAAAACAACAAAACCCCAAACACCCAAAAAGATCATAAGAGAACAAACGGTAGAAAAATAAAAAAATTTTATCGAAACATATTGAGGAGGAAAAAAAATGAAGAAACAAAAAACCCTATAAGTGCACAGAAGAAGAAAAAAACAAAACCCCAAAAACCCAAAAAGATAAAGCCGAAGAGAACAAACGGCGGAAGCAAGGAACTTTTCTCCAGAAGAGAATAAAAAAGAAAGACATAAAGGGTAGTAGAAAGCAAAAAACCAAAGCAAAGAAAATTAGAAAAGTCAAATAAATTGAACCAACCAAGAAAAGTAAGAAAATGAAATGAAGAGGAAATAAAAAGAGGATCTAGTAATATACATGGTTGCCAGCTATATTATTAAGGAGTTTATGCCATAAGTAAGAAAAATTAGTATAGTTTAGAACATCAATATACATTGAAACAACAAAAAGAATATATTTAAGAAAAAATAAAGTAAAAAACTAAATAGAGTACGATAAAATGATAGTAGATAAAAATCGAAATGAATAAGAATGAAGCTTAGAAAAATTTTTAAACAGAAGGCATGCAAAAAAAGCAGAAGAAAATAGGAAAAATCGCGACATATAAAGTAACAGTAGAAGTAAAATGAAGAACGAATTAAAATATATTGCATAAGTACAAAATAATAACGGCAACATCAATGATAGCCAAATCTATAATAACAATTACTTGGCACATGTTAACAACAAAAGAAATATAACAACATCATCACTAGAAGAAAATAAAACTTTTAAAAATGAAAAAAATTAAACTTTTGACAAAGGAAGGCAAAAAGTAAAATAGGAACCTAATCTCTGGGGCATTAAGAGAAGAAAGAGACAATAAATAAATATTAGTATATGCATCAATACATACTGAAATAAACGAATAACTAAAATAATGGCCAAATTAACATAATAAATGAGGAAAAAAAACAAAAATATATAATTTATAAGTGATAGAAAAAATATCAAAGAAAAGTGAAACACAGTGTTGTATCAAATAACGCAAAAGAAATTCATATTCATAAAAAACATATTGAAATGAACAGATAAATCAACACATGAAAGGGTTTGTTATTGATTCATATAACAAACGAACATAACATCATAAAGCAATATTCTAAAACAATTCAAAAAAAATTAGAGAAAAAAATTGAATACCTCAGTCGATGAACCACGGGCAAAAAGATAGATCGAGCAAATCAACCAAAATTATTGAGCACCAGAAATATACCAAGGGAATATTGAAGACGTAGTAAGATTAGTAATAAAAGGCTAGTACGAATAAGATATTTAAACAATGAGAATGAGAAAAAACAGAACAGGATAGATAGTAAAATCTGAAGAATGAAGATAAAGGGAAAGTAAGAAATTATAGCAATAGAATAACATGCATTATATAGACAGAAAGTTACCAATGTTTCGCTCAATCTCCGATACAAATTCCTGCAAAGTGAAATCAATTGAAGTGATGATTAATCAACAACAGCCATCACAAAGCATGAAGATGACCGCAAAACTTAACCAATAAATAACAAACAATTAAATCTTAGATATGTATTATAAAAAATTGAGAGATAAGAAATGCACGTGTCAGAATAAAAGATTAACACAAACATTAACACAATAAGACATTGGCAATTGTACAGCAGAGTTCCTTCCACAGCTCGCCACGTGTCCTAAGTTGTGCAGAACCTTTCATCTCCACAAATCAACGCGTGCCACGTGGCCAAGGTAGAGCAACGTTTCTTCTCTCTTCGCGCGACACGTGTCCCACTTTGGGATTCTTCAGCCAGCGATCCGTTTTGGTTCCGTTGGATGGTTTCAGCATTCACTCTCAGATTAAAGCCTTGTAAATCCAATTTAATTGGATAAAACGTCCCCTTATTTTTGTTTATTTGTTGAGTGCTTTTTGACATCCTCAAAAACTCTATAAATAGGGCATTTATTAAGTGTATTAGGTTGTTGATTCTTAGCTTAAATTTAGACACTTTTTCTCTTATTTTCTTGCTCTTATTCTCATATTTTCTTTTTAGAATTTTGTAAGAATTATGTGCAAGTTAGGCTAGACTATTTGGGTGAGGCTAGAGATGATCCTATATGTGTAGTGAACTTATTTGGATTTTGATTCTCCAATGGTTTGTAAGTTTTATACATTTGAGTAAATAATTTTCTTTTATCATATTTCTTCATCTTATCAATATATTTTATTGTCAACTTTTATATAAATCTAGTCAAGCTCTTTTTATGTGATTGTTGCATGATATTATATATTGGTAGGTATTGTTTTATGAGTAGTCTTTTACTGCAATATTACCGACGGTATATTGTCACTTTTAGATTTCTCATAAGATAATTTGTCCTAGTTCTAAACGTAAGAATTTTATTTACTCGAATACATTTTAATTCACAAGTTCTTCAAATATTTATTTTCCGATTGATTGTTTGGGATGTGAAACTTTCAATTAAGTCAATTTATGAATGAAAATCCAAATAGGTGAACAAAGCATATGGAGGATTCTCAATGCCTTACCACTTTTTATTATTGAATTTTCTCCATTTTAAATTGCATTATCTTTAAATTAAATTGCTCAAAAACTACAAAAAACACTCTTTTCTTTTCTTTGTTTGATTGCTTACTTCTCTAACGTTTTTGTTCTACTAATCTCTTTTGTTTGATTTTATTATCTCCTCGTGGGATCGACCGTCCTAATTGTGCTACAATTGACCACTTGTTTTTGTACACATTTGGGCGTAATCATGCCTTCAAATCTTGGTAGTTATACACAGGTGCTACAATTCATGTAACTAATTCATTGCAGGCAATGATAAGTAGAAGGAGTCCAACTAATGTAGAGTAGCATGTGTACATGGGAGATGGTACAAGAGTCAAAGTTGATTTTTTGGGGACAGTCAAACTACTGCTAACTACATGCCATTTTTTAGAGTTACATGATGTAGCATACATACCCTTGATTAGGAGGAATTTGATATCTGTATCTATTTTGGATAACTGTGGTTATAGTTTTCTTTTTGGAAATGGAAAAGTAGACTTATACCGTGACTCAATTTTGATTGGAAATGAAACTTTGTGTGGTAATTTGTATAAGCTTGTGTTAGATGATGCCTTAGGTACTATTGCTTCCTCTCTTAATACTCTTGTCGGTTCCAAACATCCTAGATTTAATGATAAGTCTTCCATGTTGTGGCATAGGCGTTTGGGTCATATTTCTAGACAAAGGATAGAGAGAATGATGAGGGATGGCATTTTGCATGACCTTGATTTTTCTGACGTTTCTACATGTGTTGATTGCATTAGAGGAAAGTTGACTGCCAAGGTTAGAAAGAGTAGATCTGATAGATGTGATGATACATTATAGTTGATCCATACTGATATATGTGGACCATTCATTCCCCCAGCCATGGGTGGTTACAAGTATTTCATTACCTTCATTGATGACTTCTCCTGTTATGGTCATGTTGAGCTTATCCGGGAAAAGTCTGACTCATTAGAAGCTTTTAAACCTTTCAAAGCTAATGTTGAACTTCAGAAGGGAAAGAGAATCGAATCAGTTAACTACAATAGAGGTGGTGAGTATTATGGCAGGTATGATGAAACTGGAAGAAATACCAGACCTTTTGCCAGATTCTTATAGGAATGTGGCGTTAATGCTCGATATACAATGCTAGGAACTCCTGAACAGAATGAGATTGTGGAGAGAAGAAATCGCACCCTTCTTGATATGGTACGATGTATGTTGATTCATTCTACATTGCTAGAGTTTTTATGGGGTGAGGCCTTGAAGACAGCAGCTTACATTTTGAATCAAGTGCCATGTAAATCTATTCCAAAGACACTATATGAGTTATGGTCTGGTAAGAAGCCAAGCTTGCGGCATTTCCATGTATGGGATTGTAAAGCTGAAGTGTGACCCTATAATCCGCAATCCAAGAAACTTGATCCGAAAACCATTAGTGGTTTCTTTGTTGGTTATTGTGGCGGGTCAAGAGGTTTGAGATTTTACTGCCCAAATCACACCACCACTGTGATTGAGTTTGACAGAGCAGTCTATCTTGAGGATGATTCTTCTTCTAGTCAAGGACCAAGGGAGATCATATTCAAGGAAAAATGTGTTATTGTCCCTATACCAGTGTTTAATGCTCTAGTTGTTGGTTCAGGGATTGATGCAGAACAAGATGTCACTCATGTTGTACCCACAAATCAGGCAGTACAGGAGATGCCAGATATAGATGGTGGTGATATTATTTTAAGGAGGTCACAGAGGGTTTGTAGACCTACAATCTCAGATGACTATATTGTTTATTTGCAGGAACATGAGTATGACATTAGTGGTGCTTCTGACCCAATCACTTATCAGGAAGCCATTAGTAGTTCTCAATCCTCATTCTGGATAGATGCCATGAAAGAAGAGATGAGTTCTATGTCATAGAATGATGTGTGGGATTTAGCGGAATTGCCACAGGGTTGTAAACCCATTGGGTGCAAGTGGGTATTCAAGACCAAGTGTGACTCTGAAGAACGAGTGGAAAGGTTTAAAGCTAGGTTTGTCGCTAAGGGATTTAGTCAGAGAGAAGGTGTTGATTATAAAGAAACCTTCTTACCAGTTTCCACTAAAGACTCATTTAGGATTATCATGGCAATTGTGGCTCATTTTGATTTAGAACTTCATCAAATGGATGTGAGAACTGCGTTCTTGAATGGAGACTTGAATGAGGATGTTTACATGTCTCAACTTGTTGGTTTTGAAGCTTCCGGTAAAGAACATTTAGTTTGCAAGCTCAAGAAATCCATTTATGGATTAAAGCATGCATCAAGGCAGTGGTATTTAAAGTTTGATCATATAGTCATCGTCAATGGTTTCAAGGAGAATGCTGTTGATCAGTGCATATATATGAAGGTCGATGGGAGCAGTTACATATTTCTGGTCTTGTATGTTGATGATATTCTGCTCGCTTCTAATGACACTGACCTGTTGTTTAGGACAAAGCAAGTGTTATTTAGCCATTTTGATATGAAGATCTTGGCGAAGCCTCTTATGTTTTGGAAATACAAATCCTTCGAGACAGAGCTAATGGTATTCTCAGATTGTCTCAGAAAGCCTACATTGATCGTGTTCTAAAAAGGTTCAACATGCACTCTTGTTCTTCTGGTAAGGCACCAATTGTTAAGGGTGATAAGTTTTCCAAAGCCCAATGTCCACAAAATGATAAAGAAATAGATCATATGAAAATTGTCCTATATGCATCAGTTGTTGGCAACCTTATGTATGCTCAGGTATGCACGCGACCTGATATCGCATTTGCTGTGGGCATGCTCGGCAGATACTTGAGTGATCCTGGACTAAGCCATTGGAAAGCGGCTTAGAAAGTCATGAGGTACCTTCAGGGTACCAAGGATCATATGATGACATATAGGCGTAGCGACATTATTGATATTGTTGGCTTTTGTGACGCCGATTATGCAGGCTGTGGATGACAAGAGATCCACTTCTGGATATATTTTTATGATGGTAGGAAGAGTTATCTCGTGGAAAAGTGTTAAACAGACACTTACAGCTTCTTCGACCATGGAGGTAGAATATGTGGCGTGTTATGAGGCTACTTGTCATGCAATATGGATACGGAATTTTGTTTCAGCTTTGGGAGTTGTTGATTCAATTCATAGACCGCTGAAACTCTTTTGTGATAATTCTGCAATTCTATCTTTCTCTCATAATGCTAGGAGCACTTCTCGCTCCAAGCACATTGATGTCAAGTATTATTTTGTTAAAAGAGAAAGTTGCATAATGCCTCATCGATATTGTATACACACTTACCAATAACATGTTGGCGGACCCACTAACCAAAGGCTTACCTATATGTGTGTTTCAGGAGCACGTCTCTAATATGGGATTGTTAGGAGCCTAGAATTGTATTGATTTATAGTGGGAGTCCACCATTTGATGTATGAATGACATGTTATTTTGTGAGGACTGCTTATGTGTTATACATAATACATGCATATCATGGATCATTGTCACTTTGATGTATGTTATGCACACATGTTTATATGCAAAGTGACAAGTTGGTTGGAGACATTTAGTTTTAGTCTCATTTTGTTATTGGATCCAGATAATTGTCATTGTGATGCTCTACAAATCTCAAAAGAATGATTGTGTATAATATTTGCATCCTATCGATGCATTGTTATGCATAATTATTTTGTGCATTTGGCTCTTGTGTGAGATCTTTGTTTGTGGACATTTTGTATTGAGTGAATGTATGTTTTTCGTTTGATTTGTACTGTCAAAGTGAGAGAATGTTAGAATATTTATATGGACTAGCACAAATCGTTGTTAATTCAATCAAATATGTCACAAATTAGAGCACGACTTTATGGACAATTATATATTATAATACGGTTTATGCATGACAAGCGTCATAATGGGATGGACAATTTTATCACTAATGTACTTGGGGCCTTTAGACTCACTCTCTCTAAATATTTAACCAGCCCATTATGCTAAATTTCCTTTCTCTATCTCAACCTTCTCGTTAAGGCCTAAAATGGGCCCATTATGATTAAAGTGCAGACAACAGAAATAAAACAAAGAGGGGGATTTTGATTTTAACCCCCGTGTGGTGTGTGTGTGGTTAGAGTTGTCTGTGTGAGTGTGGATAGAGGACGAGTAGAGAAGAGTTCAAAAACCCTCCAAGCTTCCTTCGGTTATCTCAGATTGCTGATCAGATTCCGGCCAAACTGACTGACGTCGTTCCGTTGCCGGCAGCAGCCGAAGCAAGAGGTACATCGATAAAACCATCAATTTTTCTATATGCTTCAAGATCTAATAATATATTTTGGATTCAATGGTTCAATTAGTTTTTAATCTCTTAAGAACCTATTATTTCTAGTAGTAAGCTGACTCAAACTCACCATCTCTACTATTTTCAATGCATTTGACAAAGAAATTGAGGAGATTCGTGACAGACTAGACGGCCTTGCCAAACAAAAAGATATCCTTGGTTTAAAAGGTGTCAAAGATAGGCCTTTACAAATATTACCTGCTCCTTTGGTGGACGAATCTCGTGTTTATGGAAGGGACAGGGATAAAGAGTATATTATCGAGCTGCTGTTGTCGGATGTTCTTAGTGACGAGAAGATATCTGTTGTTTCCATCGTGGGCATGGGTGGTATTGGCAAGATCACTCTTGCTCAGCTCGTTTACGATGACAACAGTGTGAGAAATCATTTCGACCTTAAGGCTTGGGTTACTGTATCAGATGAATACGATGTTCTTAAAATAACAAAGCAAATTATTGGTCAGACTGTGCTAAAATATTGTGAAAATGAAAACCTAACTCAAATTCAACTTGATTTGAGCGAGGCTTTGAGAGGGAAAAGATTTCTCTTGGTTCTTGACGACGTTTGGAATCAAAGCTATGACTCGTGGGATGTCTTAAAGAGTCCTTTCCAATCAGGAGCTCGTGGAAGCAAGATTATAATGACGACCCGTGATGATGCTATTGCAAAAATGATGGGCGTCAAAACTCATTACCTATAGACAGTATCTGATGATGATTGTTGGAGGTTATTTGAAGAGCATGCCTTTAAAAATGTTAGCACGGATTCATTTCATACCAAGATCTGCTTGCAATTGGCCGAGAAATTGTTAAAAAAATAAAAAAGGGTCTACCTTTAGCGGTCAAATCTCTCGCTGGTCTCTTACGCACTATGGGAGTCGACATATGGGAGTTGCAGTCTCAAATTATTCCTTCTTTATGATTGAGCTGCCATTATTTACCTGTATATTTAAAACGTTGTTTTGCCTATTGCTCGATATTTCCCAAGGATTATGAAATTGGAAAATCTGAAAGGGAAGAAAAAATATTGTTGTGGATGGCAGAGGGTCTTTTACAGCCTGATGTAAGAGGAAAAAGAATTGAGGAAATCGGTGATGACTACTTCAAAGATCTAAAATCAAGGTCATTGTTCCAACAATCAAGCAAGGATAAATCAACTTACTTCATGCATGACCTTGTACACGATTTAGCAGTGTATGTGTCGGGCGATTTTTGTTTTTGCCTTGGATACGGTAAGGAAACCAAATTTTCAAGTTAGATCCGTTATTTTTCATGTTCCAGAGTTGCCGATTCAGACAGTTTTGAAGGGTTACGCGAAGCTAAAAGTTTGCATACTTTCATAGGACATCCAGGAATATTCTCGGAGTCATTCTCTTTGCCTTGATCTATTGCTACGAGAAGAGAGATGCTTAAGAGCAATTTGTCTACCTGGATATTTTTTTAAACCTTTTCCTGAAGTGTTGCCTGAATCAATTGGTGATTTAAAGCATTTGAGGTACTTAATTTATCAAACAGTGCTTTTAAAAAGTTACCTGATACACTGTGGTTTGTACAATTTGCAGACCTTGCGACTATCATATTGTCGTAAACTAAGTTGCCAACTAACATGGGAAACCTAGTTAGTATGCGACATCTTGATATTAAGGGCTTAAAAAGGTTGATTATGATGGAGATGTTTTGGAGGATAAAAAGTGTCTTCAAGAGATAAAGATGTGTTGGGACGTCCCTTGTGGTGGCGCTGACGACTTACGAAAAGATAGAGATAGAAAAGTTCCTGATGCACTCAAACCTCACGCAAGTATAAAAGTTGTTTTTATTAGAGCTTATGGAGGTAAAACATTCCCTAGTTGGGTAGGTCATCATTCGTATGTTAACATGATAGGTGTATGCCTATTCAATTGTGGAAACTGTTGTTTAATTCCTTGCCGTCACTTGGTCAACTCTCTTCTCTCCGATATCTTGTAAGTCGTGGGTGTTCTGGTGTGGGGAAAATAGGTGATGAGTTTTACGGTAATAGCTCTTTCAACATTGAGCCATTCAGCTCTTTAAAATTCTTAAATCTTGAAGGCATGTTAGAGTTGCAAGAGTGGTCATTTATTGAAGGCTGGAAAGGTGGTTGTTTTCCTAGACTCAAGTATCTCTCAATTAAGGATTGTCCCAAGCTAGAAATGTGCTTACCTGACGATTTTCCTCGACAAATGGAGAAGTTCTTTCCACCCCTTGAGCTACTAAATATAGTTGATTGTCCTAGACTGGCGGAGTCATTTTTGTCATGGAACTCGCGCTTGCCGTTAAACTTGAGAAAACTTTACATTTACGGTTCCAAGCCTCCAGTTTTTGAGGAAGAAGAAGAAGCAACTTGTCTAGACTTATCAACAACAGAAAATGTTGTCATTTCTGGATGCGCTGCATCGAACACCTCATCTCCCTTACAGAATATTAGTTTATGCGACAATCTCCTGTTCTTGCCGGAAGAGGGGCTGCCCTCATCTCTCTCTTTTTACGTATCATCGGATGTCCTTCGTTGGTGCAACGTTGTCGGAGGGATACAGGCGAAGATTGGCCTAAGATTGCCCACATTCCTCATAAGGGGATTTGGGAATATGAAAACGGAATATTCATGTTTGTGAATGTTAGGATTTTATTAGTTGGCATGTTTTGGAATTGGGTTGTACAAAATTTAAAAATAAGGTCAAGTTTATTTTTGGCGTTGGTGGACAACTATGGAAACTCTATTTCAGGATGTTTGCACCGGATTTGGAATGATTTTCTACCATAGAAGTAAATCAAAGGAAATCAGTTATGGAGCTAATTGGTTTGACTTTTGGTGGTTATTTGATGAGGCTGTTTTAGAAAGAATCCGTTGAGAAGAAGTTGCTTTGTTTAGGGTGATTTTTGTGGAAGAATAGATGGATCTGTTGACCAATTTGGGTTGTATATAATTAGTATGCAGTCATGAACGTGGTGTAGTACTTTTTGAATGAAATATTTTATAGCAAAAGGCTGCTTTGATGCTCTTTGAGTGAAAAAATAAAAGGTAGTTCTTTGGGTGAAGAACTTATTATTTTCGAGAGAAAGTTTTCAAAGACGATTGGTGCTTGTTGAACAAGGCCACTAAGAGGATTCTCCACAGCGGTGACAACATCAAGGAGGGAGTCTTTGAGTGTGTAAGACCGATTGGTGTTTGTAATCTCTTTATCTTAGTGGATTGTTCACTGTCTGTGCGTGGCCCTGCAGATGTTGGTGTACGCACTGAACTGCGATATCAATTCCTTGTGCCTTTTCACTACAACAAATATCATTATCAGTAGTTGACCAAAAACGCTATTAATCACTAGCAATAGCGTTTTGTGGAGCGCTAGGGCATCGGACGCTATTAAAAGTCCTAAGAAAACATAGCATTCTAAGAGAGTTATGGAAAACGCTATAGAATTGAGGTATTATAACGTTTAAGACAAGTTCTTTTCAACCTCTTACAACTATTTAGCATGACTACGATATAGATTAATAGCTTTTTTCCTTGTCATGTTCATACTCTTGTAGCTTTTTAAAATTATTATTGATATCCTTTTGAATTCTTTCAAATAGATGATGATTCCGAACAACATCTTATATCTAAATAAGAACATTCAAATTAAAACATAAAAACATTCAACATATCAATTGTTATCAGTATCTACCAAGTTGGCAATAAAATTACGTCTACAACATAATTCATACAATGTCCAAAACCTTAACATTCAAAACAAGTAAAGAAAACAGAGGAATAGCTAGAGATATCAAAGTATCCAAAATGTCTAACTAAGTGAAATGGTGAAGTAAATCCTTCCATCTTGACAAAATGCTCCAACAAAAATGTCATCTCCACTGTTTAACCTGTAAGAAAGTGATCCACTATCAAAACAATAATCAAACTCAGCTAAAACTTCCACCATTTAACATATAAATAAAGCAAGGACTAGTTACACCATTCACAATTACATAGCCACATCCACATATGTTTTGCAGTGAGTTAGAAGAAACATGGCTTCAATGATGCATTAGGCAAAAATTGAATATCAAACTTGTAAGACAGAGAGTATCTTACATGTAGGGGCGGCAATATGGGTCACGACACGACAACACGAATCGAAATCGACATGAAAATTACGTGTTAGGGTTGAGAAAAATGGGGTGCGGGTCGGAATCGGGTCGACTCGAATTTGACACGAACAAAACGGATCAATTTCGGGTTGGACCCGTATTACCCGAAATTGACCCGCAATTCAATTTCGTGTCAATTTCAGATTCAAACCCAACCCGACCCGTAGTGACCCGTAGAAAAAAAAATATATATATATATATATATATAACATACTAATTACTAAACACAACTAAGTTAGTGGCCGAAACATTTTGAACTAACGCCTCTTTCTTCTTGAATCTCTGCCCTAGTTTCCTCTCTGGCCTCTGCCCTCATCCTTTCACCTCTGCCGCTCTGCGCCTCTTTCATCATCTTCTTCTTCTTCTCTCTGCGCCTCTGCCGCTACTAAGGCTGATTCTTCGCCTGCCCCTAAATTTCCCTCGCTGCCCTCAAATTTCTACATCTCCCTCATCTCAGCTGCCGCCTGCCCTCAAATTTCCACAATGAGTTTTCAGATTTGGAGCAACTCTCTCTCAAAATAGCGACAAGGTAAGTTATGTTCTTCTATTTTTTTCTTATGTTGTGTTTTTCTTCTTGCTTCTATTAGAAAATGTTCGGTGCACACACATTGAAAGCTCGGCAGATTTTCAGTTTGGGGTTGACGAACTGATTGAGTTGTGTAGGAAACATGCTGATGTGGAGGCAGATTTGTCTTCCAAGCTTACAAATGTATGTTGGTTTCGAGATCTTATGCTTTATGTTATATGCCAAAATTTGTTTAGTTAATAAATTATATTTTATGCATAAACCCGAAGAAACTCCCGACTTTTCCAGAATGCTTAATTTCTTGTTAACGTGTTCAGGCTCAGAGACAATTCGATGAATGTTCTAGCTCTTTAAAATGGAACAAGGATCGGGTGGTGGGGCTTGAAATGAAGCTAACCTCATTGCAGGAGGTGATATTTCTGGGGTTTGAAAATTCTATTGACTGTCATTCCTCGTTGTTTCCAGGATACTATATATTTCCTTATAAATGTGTAGGAGTTACGATCAACGAAAGAGGTGGCTGTAGCAAACGAGGAGCAACTCTCAGGTGAACTATCAATAGTGTGTTCTACGAGAGATCCTTCCATTCTTGGAGAAAAAATGGTCATTTGAGATACTTGTTTATTTATTAACACCTTTATTATGTTTTATGTGAATCATTCCCAAATTTTTAGGCAAACAAACTTGTGGAACTATACAAGGAAAGTTCTGAGGAATGGTCCAAAAAGGCAGGAGACCTTGAAGGCGTGATCAAAGCCTTGGAGGTGATTTTTTTTTGGTCGCCGATCTTTTATTTTAATGAATTTGAATTAGCATTTTGGGGGTTTTCCCACCTTATGTGTTCTTTTACTGCTATTTTTGTGTAGACACATCTTAATCAAGATCGGAATGATTACAACGAAAGACTTTAAAAGGAAGTATCTGCAAGGCATCAATTTGAAAAGGTTAGCTTCTATTGTATATTTTTTCCCCAGACATGTAAAATATATTGTGTATTATGGCATATGTTTAAGTTTTCTTTTCTACCAAAAAAATTATATTTCTCACTTTTGGTTAACAAAGAAGCTATTATTTTCCACTTGCTAGTGGAATATTAGTGACAGATCTTTGGCGATTAATGTTATCCATGACTCTTGGTTTGGTTACTAAATGAAACTGCTTTCAAGTTTTTGAATAGGATGAGATTCAACAGATACATAAGAGTTGGGGGAAATGATTTTGCTTGTGAATTTAGATTATTGTATAAATTATAAGGACTACTGTTTTCCTATTATCCAAGTTATTTCGGAGCAATCTTTTATTACGTCATCATTACTTAATGTTGCTTTGAATATTATAATAATGATTGTATGAGACTTTTGTATCATTGTTTCTTTGGCCGTGTATGGTATATCTTGTTTCTTTGGCCGTGTATGGTATATCTTGTTTCTTTGGCCGTGTATGGTATAAATACGGTTACTCTCAGTCTCACAAATACTAATCAGTAACCCTTTTTCCTAGCCCATGTTTGATTAACCAAACAGACAAACGACCCTGCATCTTTTTTCTCTCTCCCGCATTTTTATTTGTATTTATTTCTATAAATATTATAAAATAATTATTTCACATTTACGATAAAATTTCTGAAGATTGACTCGCTGTTTGTTATTCTGTACTTGTACAAAAGGATCTTGTCTAATTCACTAATTCGTGAGAAGATACTGAACTTTTGTATTCGAAAAAAGTTTCAGTGGGGATCTCTGAAGTAGATGGTGATTGATACAGTAATCCTTGATTATAATTTCCAGTATGAGTACTGCGTCCAACACGAAACTTGTGGCTGGTAGTAAAACACCGATTCTCCTGTTGAGATCTAATTCGATCTTCATGAAGAAAAAACTGTCAACCAAGCTACTAACTCCGGATGCGCTTGAATTTGATTTTTATTATGGTTGTGTAATGTTTTTTTTTTATTTGCTTCATTTGAACTATGTGGTTGTTAGGACTTTGTTATGTAGGTTTCATTTCATGTGATTGAAATCTATAATTTCAAGTCAATTTCGGTTCAACAGGTTCATGTCGTGTCTCGGGTTCGCGGGTCAATTCGTGTCGCGTGTCATTTTCGGTTCGTGTCGTGTCAACCCGCAACATGATCGTGTCGTGTTCGTGTCGCGATTCTCAACTATTTTAATGTCACGGGTCGTGTACGGGTCACACGAAAAAAAAACTGACACGGTGTAAACACGACACGAACACGACACGCGACACGAATTGACACCCCTACTTACATGTATTGTTATGTAGATAGTTGGAGAAAACATAAGTCTTCATTGCCTACATTTAAATCCGAAGAAGAAAGAAAGGAAAAAACCTGGTAACAACTCCTGCATAAAATCGTTTAACAAAGCAAAGCAAAACAAAATAGCAAAAGAGCGAAGAAAACCCAAACCAAAGCAAAATAACAAATTAGCAAATCAACAAATTAGCAAAACTAAAACTAATCATAAACATAAGCCTCTGCAAATCAATTCCATTCCAACAAATCCTCCAAATCAAACGCATAGTTACACCCCTCAAAGAAAACCAACCTATTGTTCGCATCTTGGCTCCTAGAGATCACCTTCTCCGACGACATATCCCCATTGTTCAATTTCACGCATAGTAGGTTCAGAAATGTGTAATGGCTCTCATCGTCCCCTTATGGAGCTTTATCCTAGACTATGACATAGTTTGCTACCAAGATTTAGCATCACTTTAGCATAATGTAAAGTTCTCACTTCACTTTAAATAAACCAATTCTCCATATAAGGTCACTTATGAACATAGTTTATACACCAATATGCCAAGAGTTTTTGCATAAACCGGCAACCAACAATTATCACACCATTGAAAATCACTGGACATAAGGATCCACGGCCTCCAAACACATTTAATCATGGCATTTAAATTTCATACCATAAGCGGCCATGTATATATTTTTTATGTAAGGAATGTGTGGTGGCCTTAAGGTTCCACGTATGGAGCAAACTTCATAGGCAATGACAATTACGCTACCAACGTTTAGCTAACTTCGACATATTGGTGGGGATGGCCGTTAGAGTGAAGCAAAGCATACTTACCAAGGAGTTCTAAACCGAAAAGGTTTAACAATATGCCAAGCGAAATGGAATACACCGGCAACACATTATTGTCATAACTTCAAATATCACTCGACATAAGGAATTAGGCCATAATACACAAATTAAACATCATAGCCACGGTGTATATGTACCTGAAAGTGCAGTGAAATATTAAACTATCACATAGCAGTACTTTCACCTAAATCAAACACAAACAAATTATAATTCAAGATAAAAAAGGATCAGATTGATTATCTGACACGAGTCAAGTTCAAACCATTGGTCATACACAAACAAATTATAATTCAAGATAAATGCCTGGCTCCATAAAATTTTCTAAAAATTGACAGGTAGAAAATGGAAAATTGGGAGTCTTAGTAACAAGTGTTGCTGTAACATTAGAGCAATTATTTGGCTCTATAGGTTAAGTTATCCAAGATCAGATCTCGTAGTTTTTTATTTTCATGTCGTTTGATGATCTATTTGTCGTTGAAAACCTGATCATAAAGTTTATTAGTTGTTGTTCTTTGCTATCAAATGAGTAGTGGATGCATGTTATTAGCCCAGAAGCAAGAATGGCATAATAATAACACCATTTTTATATCAACTTAAGCAAAACATAAGAATAGAAAACTTCATTAAACCTGAGGCAAATGACGACTAGCTTCCGTTTCATGTTCCGGTCCAACAACAGGGACGCTGCCCTACCCTTCTCCTGTCGTGGAAGGACTTCAGCCAGCAGTCAAACCATTATTCTCCAAAATTTAGAGCAATTACAGTTTAGAGTAAACAAAAATAACACCCAAAATGGAAGAGGTCATAATTCTCATCAAACAATGTACTTATAAAAACTCGCCCAACATAATAAACGCTCTGAAAATCAAAATGACCCTCTCGAAGCACTTTATGCAATAGCTGCTGCTCCCTTCCTCGCTTGTGTACCTATTGAAACAAAAATTGTACTTCCCAAGTCCAAGGCCCGAGCAAACTAAAAACTACAATCTCATTTCAACACAAAATACAATCAAACAAAATTGATAAGCCAATGCAACTTTAGAAATATTTAAATGAAGTATCTACCAAACTAAACCAAAAAGTACTTCCCAAGTCCAAGGCCAGGGCAAACTATAAAACAAAACCCACATTCACGTTTCAGCTAAAACGAAAATCAAATAATCACCAAAGCCATTAATTACCGACCTGAAAAAGCCAATGCAACTTTTGGAATTAAAAAAAAGGAAAGGAACACAAAGCCCACATTCACATTTCAATCAGAGCAACCATCAAATATTCAGCCATATCCCTAAATGCACCGGAATAAGTAAATTCAACCTCAGAGACAAAAAGCAAAAAGGCCCAAATCAGCAACAAATGAAATAAATAGAAACCTGATCTGAGGTTGATAACGATGAAATTGCTCTGTGAACAACGATCTGAGGCTGAGGATGATGAAAATAACTGAACAAATTAACTTCAAAGTGAACACAGATCTAAAATGGACAGGAAAAATCCTGGAACCCTTTTTGCTGAAGCAAAGAATCTTTTCCCGAAGGTCAAATTCCTGAAGCGGCGTGCCGGTAGGTGAGGGTGAGCCGGTGACGGTGGGTAGGTGGGTCTGGACTGAGAGAAGCGGTGGATCAAAAAAGAACAAGACGAAGCAGAAGAAAATGAAGAAGAAGAAGCAAAGAAGCCGCGGTGCCGGTGGGTGAGGGTGAGCCGGTGACGGTGGGTGGGTGGGTCTGGACTGAGAGACGCGGAGGAGAGAAGCATCGGAGTGTTGGATCAAAAAAAAAAGAAGAAGAAGAAGAAGCGAAGAAGCGGCGGTGCAGGTGGGTGAGGGTGAGCCGGTGACGGTGGGTGGGTGGGTCTGGAGTCTGGACTGAGAGACGCGGAAGAGAGAAGCGGCCGAGTGTTGGATCAAAAAAATGAGAGAGAAGAAGAGTTTGAAAATTGAAAAGTGAAAACCTAATAGGCTGAAATATTTTTTTTGGCCGGCTAAGAGGATCTTCGACTGATCAGTGGGGAAGCTACAACAACATTGAATTTGGGAATCTAGTAGAGCAAATAAAAAAGAGCGAATAGAGCAGTTAATTTGGGAATTTGGGGGGAAGAGCGGATCGAGTGAGGTTTTCTTTTTTTCCTTGGCTGGCTAAATGCCTCTTCGAACAAGTAAGGAAGCTTTTGTTCGTATGGGAATTTCAGTAGCAAGCAGAGTAGAAAAAAAGGGAGAATGCAGCAAGGGGAAATTTGAAAATTTGGGGGAAGCAATTTTAAAAATAGATTTTCAAGTGAGAATTTAAGGGGAAGTTACTTTCACAACCCGCCGAAATATTACATAATCTTTTAATATATATATACATACAGAACATAACTCTTTTAGAACGCTATTAAATACAAAAAAATAGATTTTAATAGCATTTATTTGAAAACGCTATAATGAAAAGTTATTAAAAGTCTCTTTTGTTGTAGTGTTTATGTTTTTGTTAATCTTTCTACACTTATAATTTGTTACTACTGAATCAAAGAAAAATATATCCATCTGCACGTATCTGTCATCAGTGTTACAACTAGTGTTATAACACTCTTTGTGACACCGACCGAAAAAAGGACCTTACAATTGGTAACCGAAAAACAAACCTTTCAATTGGTATCAAAGCGGTTCACTAACCGTTTGCTTGGTGAGATTTTGGGAGTTGGTTTGTTGTAATAGGGATGGATTTTTTGAAAGAAGGTGGTTCGGTTTCACGCCCTCCTCTCCTTGATGGTTGTAATTATTCTTATTGAAAAGCTAGCATGAAGGCGTTCGTCAAAGCACTTGATGAGAAAGCGTGGCGTACTGTGTTAATTGGTTGGACGCACCTCGTTACCAA